CTTGAACAGGTTTGGAAACCTCAATTTGTACATGGAGGTAGCTAGCCCCAACCCCATCAAGCCTGATCCTGCTGTGTGGCCTCCTTCCTTAATCCACACCTGTGAGCTCATGATGGGAGAAGAAGGTCAGGCCGAGTTTACAGGTGCTTCTGCATGAAAGGATGGGGCCAACCCAAAGTGCTCAATGGCAGCATTACAGCCCCACCCAGTGGTGGCTCTGAAGGACAATGGTGAAGGCAAATTCTCCCAGCGAGCAGAACGTGGAGTGGTGCAGTTGGGGGTCCATTTTGTCTGGAGTAAGAGATGTCCAGAGTAGAAATTTACGCTGACCATGCTTGGTTGCCAGAAGGTCAATCATTTGATTCAATGATTAGTGACTTGGAAAGAAGAATTGAAAGATGGATGACCAGGAGGCATTGGGAAGGACTGTGGATGATCTCTCTGGATAGACAGAGTAGGGAGTGAATGCTCACCAACACGCCTCCCCTGCAGAGGTGAGCAAAATGGCACATCTGTCCAGTTTCTTTCCCCAATCTCTCCAGTGCATGCTCGATGGGCCCAGGTACAAGACACACACACTATTTCTGACGAAAGGGTTTTATTTCCTAGTAAGAGAAAGTGACCATGAAATCAACTCAGAGCCCATGTCTAGTGTTTCCCCAAAGGTCTGTGTAGAAAAAATGAAGACATCAGTGAAAAGTAGAAATATGAGGAAAGTCTCTCAAGTAGTTACTTGTATTCTGTCAGTACTTGTTTCCTAGGTTTGACACGTGTGCCCAGGTGGGTGAGATGTCAGAAGAGCTTGAGGAGAGGAGAGCAGGAACGTTCCTTATTAGCTTTGAAGCCCTCCTACATCCTATGCTATTTCAAAAGGAGGAATGACATTGTGTTGGAGTGGACACCATGGTGTAAGCTGTGAATGCTTCCAAGAAGGCTTGGCATGACATCTGTCACACTGTTGATGGGTTTTCCTCAGAGACCCAGTGCCCTCACCCTTCAAGGACTTGTTTGAACTTGTGATCTGGTTCAGGTTAGGAAACTGGGTGAGTTTGTGTTTGTTTATTTAAAAAAAAAAAAACAAACCTAGGGCCTCAGACATGCTAGGCAAGCACTCTACACCCCAAACCCTGGGTGAGAATTTTTGACTATCTCTTGTAATGATTCAAGTTGAATCATTACCAAACTTAGAGATTTCCCAATTACAGAGATCAAATATTGTTTTTGTTAACATTTTAAAAAATATTTATTTAATTATATAATTAATACACTTGTTATATACAAAAGTTGTATATATTTAAACTATTCTGTAAGGCTGGGGATGAGACTCAAGTAAGTGGTAGAGCGCTTGCCTAGCAAATGTGAGGCCTTGAGTTCGAACCCCAGTACTGCTAAAATACCCTGTGGAATGGCTAAATTGAGCTAATTAACATATACACTACTTGACATTCTTATCAACGAGAACACTTAAAATCTACTCTCAGAAGAGAGAAAGAAAGAAGGAAAGAGAGAGAGAGTATGTGTTGGTCTGTGTGAAGGGACTATGAGGAGGCAGGAGAGGAAAAGAGGACGACAGAGTGAGTAATACTGAAACGCAACGCATCTGTGTACGAAGACAGTGTAACACAATGCACTGAGAGCAGCTGAATAGTAGGGGGGCAGGGCGAGAGAGAAAGAGGAAGTAACCGAGGTGCTTAATCTGATCAAAGCACGATACGTACATGTCTGAAATGCTAAGGGGAACCTCTTAACATATGAAGGATGGGAAGGCAAAACAGGTCCTATCCAGGGGTGGACACCTGTGGGACAGGAGAGGGTGAATGGGGAGGAAAAAGGAGGGGAAGATGGTGGATGCATTTTGTATATGTGCATGAAAATTCAACAGTGAAACCTGCTGAAATTGTTCTAAGAAGAGGGGGTAGGGGATGAAGGAGAAGGATGGAGGGGTGAATCTAATTACCATACACCATAAGCACATATGTAAATGTCACAATGAATCCCCCTGTACACCTACTATATCCAATGAAAACAAATCCACTCTGTGCAGTTTTCAAGAATACAACCCATGGTATTAGCTAGGCTTGTGTTCTGTGGCAGCTCGCTTTGATTTACTCCTCTGTATGTTCTGACCAACACTTGGTGTCTAGAAACTTACATTTCATTCCTCATTAAGAATTGAGGTAGCCCAGACTCAGGCATCTCCCTAATTCTCAGACAGGAATGGAACGGGGTTTATCTGCATGACAGCTACATCCCAAACTTGCATGACTGTATCCAACAGAAGCTTTTTCCTCACTTGAGGAAGGTCCAACTTAGCAGGGGTCTCCGTCCCTTTTCCCCAGAGAACTCAGGGCTCTGCTGTCTTCACATGGCTGCAAAGTGGCCCTGGGTGTTGGTGTTCAGACACTGCTCTGTGTGTGTGTGTGTGTGTGTGTGTAGAGACATGAAGATCACACAGGAAGGTTTTCATGGTCCTGGCCTGGGAGTGCTCAAATCACTTTTGTTCATAGGCCACTGACCAGAACTCTGTCAACTGGCCCAACCTAGAGGGGCCATCTCATCCTTCCAGGTAGCTAGGATTACAGGCATGAGCCTCCAGCGCCCAGTAGCGTGGTTATTTTTAAAAGCTTTATTTCGTAGATGAAGACACTGAGGTCCAGAGAGGTTTGGTAACTTGTTCAGGATCACATAATGTAAGTGATAGAGTCCAATTCAAACCCTGCAGCCTGACTTCAGAACTTCCCACTTTACCCACCACTTGATAAGGCCTTTCCTACAAATCCATGCTCAATTGAGCTGACTTTTGGAAAAGACATAATGGACAGGAGTGTGCTTTGTAAAACTGTAAGGTGAAATAAAAGCAGTTTGACTTTTGGGTCCTAGGACATTCCTGAGGCTCCTGCCAGGCACTAGGTTCTCCCTCTCCCATGTCTTCATGGTACTTGGCACAATCTGGGTCCCATTGTGTTGTCCCTGACCTGGCACAGTAGCTGGTGCTGGGTATCACTGTTCTGTGTGCTAGAGACACAGCAGTGGACAAGACAAAGTCCTTCTCACAGAGTGTTTGCTACAGGGACAGCCAACCAGGTAACAGGTGTCTGCACACTGCAAGAAGTGAGTCCTAAGCAAGAAAATAGGCCAGGTAAGGGGCTAGAATGTGGTGGGGAAGATGCCTCACAAGCCAGTCCCACACCTCCCTAACGCCATGAGGAGATCCAGGCCTCATTTGCACCCTCAGTCATTCATGCACTTATTTGTTAACTCACTGCTTACTTACCAGTGTCCACTCTGGCTGGGCTCTGGGGACACAGCTGAGGAGAACATGCTAAGACCAGGACTTCTTGTCTCTGAGTACAGCCTGCGCTTCAGTCATTCCAGGCCACACGATGGCTTCCTGGAATGCCTTCCCCACTCCTGCCCCGTTCTACCTGGCTAGCTACTCCTGGCATAAAGACTGCAGGTGCTGCCTCCTTTGAAACCTCTCAGCCTTCCTAGCAGGGGGGCTCTCCCCAGCCCTCCTCTCCTGGCAGTCTCCTCTGCCTCCTGCTCTGGCTATGAGCTCCTGGAAGGGGAGTGCTGGCTCAGAATGGCACTCTCCAGCTTCCAGCCCTACTCAGGAAGTAATTGTCATCTGCCTGTGTCTCAGCTGGGCTGTCAGCTCCCAGGGCAGCATCGCCCAGTCCCCACTGCCTAGAACAGAGCCTCCATGTGGCTCAGCGTGGATAAACATGTATGGATCAAATGAATGAAGGAATGAGTTGAAAGAATGAAGGCAAGGCAAGGCACTGACGCCTGGTGCCCAGCCCCGCCCTTAGCAGGACCCGCTGGTGCAAGGTGCTGTGCCCAGTGTAAAGGGGGAAAAATGAAGAATTTCAAGAAAGCTACAGAAAAGCGTTAAACCAGGGAAGACTGTGCAGTGCTCAAGGGACTGGCCCCAGAGGCCGCCCCGCCCTCTCTGAGGCTCCTGTGCCTGGACTCACTCCCAATACCCCTCTCTCTCCTCCTCTCGGTCACGTGTGTCCTCAGAATGGTCTTCTGCAGAAACCTGCCGACCTTCTCTTAGCCCCACCAAAGTGGAGCCCCTTGGGGGACAGAGTTCGTCTTTGGGAGGGGTTTATGGCAGGTGGGCACCAGGTTTTGAACAGGGCGACGGGTGGGCTGGGGGTCGGGAAGTGCTCCAAGCCGGCCACTCCAGGGCCACCCCAGGGCCACCACACCCAGCCCCATTCCTGCCAGAGTAGAGTCAGCTCCTTGCTCCGTTGGTACAGGGCGAGGTATGACCTCTCCTTGGGAAGTGGCTCAGGTCTTAGTCCTCATCTGCGCGTCTGGCCCACAACAACACAGGCACACCAGTGGGACAAACTGAGAGACCCTCCCCGTATTGTAGGGACCCGCGCACCCCACCCGTAGCCAGACACACTGCAAAACAGAGGTCAGACAGAAACTCAGGGACAAAGATAAACAGATGGACTGACGCACGCTCACCCGCACCTCTGGCGTCCCCCATGCAGACCCTTGGGGACAGTCCCGGACAGCGCAAGCGGCAGCTGAGCGCTGGACTTCCGGCTCGGCGGCAGCCACGCCCCCCACCCCTGGAGCTGGCACCCGCGACCCCCTGAGTTCCCTCCCACGCCACCCTCCGGGGCATCCCCGGAGCCGGCGGGCGGCACCTCGCGGTCGAGTTTCCGGGGCGCGCCGGGGAGGTAGGGAGGGGGGTGGGTCGACTGGCGTCGGCGCAGGGGTGGGGTGCGGGCTGCGGCGGGCCGGGGTGCAGGAGGACGCGCGGAGCGAGGTCAGCGGCGGCCGGGATCGCGGGCTTGGGATCCACACTGGGCGCCGGGCTGCAGAGAGCGGAGTGGGCAGTGGGCGTCGGGGGGCGCTGGACGCCAGGCCTCGGGTGGGAGGTCAATGGACGGCTGTGGGGACCTGCTCTAGGGCCCGGGGCAGAAGGGGGCAGGCAGGCATCGGAGCGGGCAGCAGGCAGGCAGCGCTGGTGACAGAGGGCGTCGGGCAAGGTCAGCAGCCAGGAGCAACAGGCGGGGCCCGGCCGCAGCCGCAGCCGCTTGGGGACCAGACTCCGCCGTCTCTCCAAGATGCCCGAGGGCCCAGGCGCGTCCCGATCAGCCTCGAGCGCCTCGGACGGGGCGTCGTGGTCGGGGTCCGCGGGGTCCCCGCAGTGCCCCGGCCCTCGGCGCGGCGCCGCGCGCGCCAGCGTCCCGCAGAAGCTGGCCGAAGTGCTGAGCAGCCAGTACGGGCTGAATGTGTTCGTAGCGGGGCTGCTATTCCTGCTGGCCTGGGCCGTGCACGCCTCGGGCGTGGGCAAGCGGGACCTGCTGTGCCTCCTCACCGCGCTCATGCTGCTGCAGCTGCTCTGGATGCTGTGGTACGTGGGCCGCAGCTACGCCCAACGTCGCCTCATCCGGCCCAAGGACACCCACGCCGGCGCGCGCTGGCTCCGCGGTGAGTGCGGCCCCCACTTCTTCCCTAAAGCCTTCTCTGCCTCTGAACGCCTGGACCTCCCCTCCTGCCTCCCTGCCCTCCTTAAGCCGGGGTGCTCTCTGCCTCACATCGTTGGAGCCACACTTACTCAAATCTGCTCACAGCCTCGCCCGCTTAAAGCTCTGGTACTACTGACCCCACTGTGGAGGCCAGGTTCCCTGTCCCGGTGGTAATAGAGGCTACTAAGATCAGGGTCTCAGAATGGCCTCTTTTCTTTAAAGCCCTCATCCTGGCCTTCTCAAAGATTCACTGCCCATCACAGGATTATATGTCTTTGCCTATTCTGTTCCCTTCTCTGGAATGCTTTTCCACCCTCTCCACTGCCTTCTGCTTTCCAAGCCTGGGCTCAGGCTCCCCATCCTCCCTAGAGAGCTTTTCGACGACCCCCTCCCCCTTTGTGGTTCTGACCACGCCCCTCACCCCTGGCTATGGCCTGGGTGAGCACGGTTAACTCTTGTTCACGAATCTGCCCCTCTACCCACTGGGGAAGCTCTGCCCTGCTTCTGTCTCACTCCTAGGGCCACCTGGCGGCCTGGCGTGTAGATGAGGTGGGACCGAGTGAAGGAAGTAGTGGGCTAGGAGCCCTTGCTATGTACTTAGGGCACACGGTCAAGATGGAGGTCCTGCCCCCTGGAGCAGCTGCCAGTCGTGAAGACAGATGTAAAGTAGGTCAAAGGGAGCAGACTGGTGCAGGGCAAAGGGAGAGGGATGCAGTCCAGGTCAAAGGCAGCGGATGGATGCCGGGCAAAGGTGGCCTCCTCTCCGTTCTCCTGTTAGGCAGGGATTTAGATCTGGGAAGACTGAGTCTCCACTCCCCTTGCATGCCTGACCTCTGGCAAATTGCTTGTCCACCCCCCTCCCCCACCTCACCCTAGTCTCAGTGTCTGCACAGCAGGGATCCCACGCGGATGGGACAGAGGCCAACACAGAGTGGGAGCCCGGCACAATCAGCTGTCCTTCCCACTGCCAGTAAAAGGTCTGGCCCCAGTGCCACCGCGGCCCACGTGCCTGGCAGGAGCTGTGCCTCACACCCATGGGCCACCATGGCACCCTCTGGAGCTCTTTTGGTCCTTTTCAGTTTCTGCCTTGAATTGTGACTATTAGCGCCTGTGCCTTCTTCTTCTTGTCTTTGGGAAAATTGGACACCACTCCCAAAGCCCCAAATTCCTGTTCTGAAAATGGTGTTTTAGGGAGGCTTATGGTTTTATGGTTCTATGAGTGGCAGTGAGTCCAGCCCCATGTAAAACAAACAAAGGCCAGGTGCGGTGGCTCAAGCTTATAATCCCCGCTACTCAGGAGGTAGAGATTTGGAGGGTTTAGTTTCCAGGCCATTGAGACCCCCATCTCAACAAATAAGCCAAGCATGCAATTGTGTGCCTGTGATCCCAGCTAGGCTGGAGTCTGTAGGTAGGAGGGTCACCGTCTGAGGCTGGCCCCTGGCAAAAGTTCAAGACCCTTCCTGAAAAATAACTAAAGCAAAAAAAAAAAAAAGGATTGGGAGCGGAGCTCAAGTGGTAGAGTGCCTGCCTACCAAGCAGGAGGGCCTGAGTTCAAAATCCCATACCACCCCCAAATCCCGCCCCCCCAAAAAAACCCCCCAAAAGCGAAAACAACAACAAAAACCAAACAAGACATACAATGTCACTTTAGGACCTTTATGCACAGTTTTTCTTCCTGTGTGGAAGCATCTCTCTCCTTCACCCCTTCCTCATCCCTCCTGGCCCTTTCCTTCCTCCCTTCTCTCCCCCCTCCTTTTTCCTCCCTCCCTTCCTCCTTCTCTTCCTCCTTCCTCTCTCCCTTTCTCTTCCGATTCGCTTCTGTTCTCCTGGCCTCATCCTTCGGGCTGACTTGGACCACTGGGGTCTTAGTCAATAGGTGAATGTTGGGCCATTTCTGAAGACTAGGAAGCCAGGGGAAGAAATGAGGTGAGAACACAAGGCAAGTCCTAGTGGTCACGTTCAGTTTCATTCACCAGGTAGAGAGGAGATACTGAGGCAAGATGGAGCAAGCACCGTCAGCATGTGTCACTTTTGGCTGTCTGACCCTCAGTAAGTCGCTCCATAGCCACCATTCAGCCGGTGGGAATGGTGTCGACCGAGGATGGCTTGACTTGAGCTCCTCACTCTGCCACATTCACCTTTTGGGTCCCAGGTCCCTCGGGAGTGAGATAAGAATGGTGGCTGCCTCTCAGGGAGGAACTGGGGGGTGTTGAGAGGGGCACTACCAAATCCTGGCGGTGCCCCTGGACAGCTGTGGCTCATCTAAGAAGCAACAGGCAGCTACGAACATCGGAGACCATGGTGCCAAAGAGCGCCTTCCGCCCCAGCAAGGACTGAGGTTCCCTGGACTCCTAGCTGGAAAGACAGGTTTGGTGCAGGGACTAAGCCCTGCCACAGGTTGGTGCTGAGGCTCCTAAGGCTGATGCTCCAAGAAAGCCACCTTGTGCCACTCCAGGCACTGAGGTTTTCCAGAGAAAGCCTCACGGTGGTGTGGGCTGTGGGAATCCTTTTGAGCAGAAGTGTTCTGTCCAGCCTCTGGGGTGGAAGGAAGTAAAGACTTTCCTTGGAACAAAAGAGGTCAACCCACTTACCAAATTGCTAGCAATGATGGAGTATCAATCCAGCTCCCCGGTTGGCTAAGAAAAGGGCCTGATTTCTTCTTGAAGAGTTGACAGCTGCCCGGGTGGCTCATGTCTTTCCCATGTGCACAGTGCGGGGGAAACAGAGCTGCTGTTTTGCCTATTAGTTGCCAGATCCTGTATTCTGTTTAACAGATAAGGCTAAGGTTAGGATTTTGTTTTCTGTCCTGTCTCAAGACCAAAGGTGTTGAATGCATCATGGGGATGATGGTAAGAGTCCTAGTGACATTTATGGAGTGCTTTTGGGATGTTGGCTCATTTCAACCATTGTCACAGTCATTTGCAGAAACAGTTCAGTGTTCCTAATTACCTGTTGATAATCACCCCCGAATTTATTCCTTTTATAAGTTCAGATTTTCATCGTGTTTTTCTTTCTTAAGGAAAGAAAAACTTGCCTGGTGCTTGCTAGGCAAGTGCTTTACCCTCTGAACCAAGCCCCCAGGCCTAATTACTCTTTTTTTTTTTTAAAGTTTGTTTTTCAGATAGGATCTTGCCCTAACTTTGCCTGGGCTGGCCCTGAATTGTGATCTTCCTATCTCTGCCTCCCAAGTAGCTAGGATTACAGGTGTGTACCATCACACCTGGCATGTCTGGTTTTTTTTTTTTGTAAAATGAAGCACACATCTGAGAATCATCACACCTTTGGCCAGCAGGGCACCACAGGCCATCTCTGGAAACAGGCCGCTCAGGGTACTAGGTCCCTCAGGGGACCAGCAATAAAATGGCAACCTGAGCTGCTTCTGGAAGCCCAGCCAGGGGTGGTAGCAAAACAGATGAAATGGGGAATCAGAGATGGTTCTTTGGAAGCTGCTTGGTGAGAAAGGGTTGGTTGCTGAAAAGGATGGGGCCAAGTTCCCATTCTCCTGTGTGTGTGTGTGTGTGTGTGTCTGTGTCTGTGTCTGTGTCTGTGTGTCTGGGAAATGTCAGAGTTGGTGGCCACGCACAGAGGAGGAGAAGGAGAAGAGGGAGCTGGCAGGAGGACAGCTGTACCAGCACTCAGAGATCCTGCAGTCTTATGGGATGGCCAGGACTGTTAGGAACGAGAGTTTGGTCCAGGGAGCTGCAAAGCTCGGTGGGGTCCTCTGGTGGAGTCTGATGCCAAAGAGAAGGAAGTGGCCAGTGTGGGTCCTGGGGACACCTGTTGACCTCAGGGCAGATGCAGCAGGTGCGTGAGCATCCCCCGGGGTCCACTTTGCTTCTCCTTAGGATGGAAGGTCACCTTACAGCTTTGCTTTTCTGCAGGCACAGTCTGTCCCAAGACATTTCTGTCCTTTTATTTATTTATTTATTTATTTTATTTTTAATTTTTATTTTATTCATATGTGCATATAACGTTGGGTCATTTCTCCCCCCTTTCCCCAGCCCCCTCCCTTCCACCTCCCCCAACTCCCTCTCTTACCCCCCCTTACCCCTCGCTACCCAGCAGAAACTATTTTGCCCTTATCTCTGATTTTCGACAAACACAACTTTACGTGACTTTTCAGAAATAGTTTTCCAGATCTGGGGTAGAATGTTAGAGTATATACTTAGCATTCATACATCCCTAGGTCTGATTATCCACACAATAAAAACATTTGCCATAATTCAGAAGAAACTTGCTTAGAAGACCTTTCTGTCCTTGTCACTGGCTTGATTGAGGTAGTGGTCACACACTTTGCGATTTGCCTGTGAAAGGGGTACAGTCTATGGTTTTTAGCAAGGCATAGATTGTACAGCCCACAGTGTTAGAATATCCTTTTTATCCCAATACCATTAGCTCCCCCAACCTCCACTAATCTTCAGTCCCCACCCACCTGCTATCTGGCCCCATAGATTCATCTGTCCTGGACATTTCTATAAATGGAATCAGACAACATGTGGTCTTTTGTGACCAGCTTCTTTCCCTTGGTGCCATGTTTGCCATACCGGCAGTTCTTGAAGTAGGTGTTGTCACCTGTCTGCTTGGTGAGAAGGCTAAACTTCCTGTCACTGGAAACAGTCCAGGGCAGTGAGCAAGCAGGGAGGAGTTCCTGGTTTCGGACACAAGGCATGATATTACAGGTGGCAGAGCAGGTGACATCCCTCACTTCCACTTTGCCTCTGATCTCCACTGAGAAGGAAGATATTTGACACTTGTGGAGGGCAGCAGAGAAGGGGGGCGATGCCCAACTTGGGTGACCGTTGCTGGGGCAGTGCTGTCAGATTTGCTTCTGCCTAGCAGACACCAGCTAGGCTGTGACGGGGAGGGCTGATCCAGCATGGGCCAGCCCTGAGAGAGCAAGGATGAGCAGACAATGTAGGGAGACAGGACATCATGGCTGAGAGCACAGCCTCCAGGGGGTGC